TGATAATTGATACATGGCTTTATAAGTTACATTTATTATTTTATTTACGAGTTACAATGAAACAGGTAATTTTACAGTATTAACACATTTGCCGCATTTGATTGCAAGCTCAGTTCCAGACAAAGTACCATTTTCATATCTTTTAAAATATTCCTTCAATTTATTATCACAATTATTGTATACTTTCTGCCGTTTGACTGTTTGCGTGAAAGATTCTGTATAACGTGTATAATTATATTCATTTTCTTCTTTTAATGCTTCGATAAACTCATAAATATGTGGATGAACACCAAAATGCTGTTTTAATCGATTATGAAAACCTTCGACATGATTATTTGTTCGCGGCTGATCAATAATAATTAAATCATGAATATTCCAAATAAATGATGGAAATATAGCGTCATCATCAACATATGTATCTGTTATATAAAAAATGGACAAGTTTTAAATGTACCATCCATATGCCACGTATCAACTTCTGATAAATATTCAAAAAATAAATTTTATTCGTAAATAAAATAATAAATGTAACTTATAAAGCCATGTATCAATTATCAAATTATATTAATATTGATTAGTATACAGTTGACAGAAAAAAAATGAATAGTTATAAAATGAGTAGAATGATAGAAAATGTAAACGGGATGAAACGAGTGTGGGACGAAACGAGAGCTAATTAACAAATACGGGACGAAACGAGAGGATACCGTATTTCTATATATATCGCATATGTTTCTTATTCTATCACACACAAATTAGATAACATTAAAACTATTTTAAAGATACTTAGTCTATAAATAATGAAAAATCTGTTTACATATACTTTACACATATATAAAAGAAAAATATTGTTAATTTATGCAAATAGCAAATATTGTTCATAATTAGAAAAGTTTACGTAGATAGATGACTCATTAATAACGATTCTCCAAGAGATATTTCTTAGTGTACTTTGATTGTTTGAACGGTACACATACGGTACTGCTAAAAAAAACACGATTTTCAAAATTTCTATGAAAACGACTAGCTAGAATAAATTCAAATAGTGATTTGGACAGCTGAAATGATGCCCTATCAGATGAGGTACATGTCACTGTTTCATAGAAAGTGTTAAAAATAGGGTTTCCAGAAAAACGCTTCAGCGGAATTCTAAGTCCTTGAAGATTTTTCGGAAATTTATTCCAACAGTTCAGTTTTGTAGAACTGGAAATTCTGATGAAAACGAGATATCTACGATATTTCCTCATGGATGTACAGGTGCACGAAAAATGGTAAAAAGTATAAAAAAAGTCCCAGTGTATCTCGTACTCTTGTGGACGCTGCCAAAAACAAGGATTAATATGTTAATTGTCTTTATTTTTTTCTTCTAGCATCCATAGCCGATGGTTCAACAAGTGATTTATCTGAAATTGGTAGTTTATATAATTTTCCTAGCGCTATTCGACAAAGATCTGATTCATTAACAAATTTATTTAATTTATCTGAAGACAGTGCATCTGTTTCTAATTTGAGTGTTGCCTCTTACTCATTATCACAACATTCATGCGATTATGGTCCAACAACAACAATTCCAAACTCATTTATCAACGGTAATGGATCTGATTCAAATAAAATCTTACGTAAACAATATAGTTCATCACATAAAAATTTGTATGACGATCCGTCTTCAACATCGTCACCACACCACGGACATTTCAGTGATTATACATCTCGTCAAAATAATAATTCTACTAGTCATTATCAAACAACGAATACACAATCAAATAGTAGTACAAACGGTTATTATTGTAATACGAGTTTATCTGACTCATCGTCGATTGGATCAAATATTAACGAATATCGAAAAAGTTTTCCAGCAAAAACTGCTGATTGTGTTTTGAATACAATTGGACTGGGAGGTGTAAATACAACAACGAGTGGTGATGATATTGATGCAACAGATAAATGTGGACTCATTTCATCTGCCGATTACGATGATAATGAATCAGACGATTGTGATGATATTATTGAAAATGGTATAAATAATGTCGGTGATTTATCGTCATTCAATGATGGAGGTGGTGCACATTCTTATTACGCTGGCAGTTCAGATGAAAATGAACAAATTCAAAATCCATCGAATAGTGCAAGTGCCACTACTGATAACAACGGTACAACAACAACAACAGCAACAACAATTACAAAATCATTACAAAAAAAAACAAATGGAAAATTACGAAAGACTGTGATGAACAATGTTGTTGACAGATTAATTAATTCTGGGAAAGGTATCAAATGTTAACAATATTTAAAGGTAAATCTCATTCATTTTTCTTTATATAAAATCTCACTCTCTCCTCTCTTCATAATTCTGTTTAGTTCTTAAAGAACATTAAATTAATTTTTGTACTTAATGGCTTTTTCTATTTTTTTATTTACTTTTTTGCCAATCAAATCGTCTATCTATCGTTCTATTCTTCTGTAATTGAAAATGACGATAATAAATAGATGTAAAATAATAACATCGTACGATTAAAATAAAACAGAATTTGATGGCTTCTTCTTTTATACGTTTGTACATTTTTATTGTTCTTACAGAGTCTTGTTCTATATATTTTATTATTAACTCGTTTCTTGATTTTTCACTTATTTATTTGTTTGTTCGTTTTACTTCAAAATTTTTAATAATAAAAAAACGTGATCTAAAATTCAATCGATAATCCAAATATAAAAATTAGAGCCTAGAAAAACTACTTTCTATGAATCTAAACAAGTTATTCTACATTTATCATGTTGCTGTAGATGTCTATATTTTTTACACCATCAGGATAATTTCTCCATTGATTCTTACAAAGTTTATAATGTAATCGTTTTAGACATAGTTTCGTACCTGGCCATAATAAATTGTCTTTTAGCACCTAACATTAATGTGATCATCTATAAGAAGATGAATAGAAAATTTTAAGAAAATATGACATAACAACACACCGAGGACATCAGAATGATACACGTTACATCTTACATCCATGTATATAGCTATTCCATAGTTTTTATTCAAATCAAACAATAATCTCGATAATGTTTTACCACATTGACAAATCCTATTGTTTTAGGATTTATTATCTCATTGGATAATTGTAGCAATTATAATTAATGATCTTATCTAATTTTGATGAGTATTCTATGATCATTACTTAATTTCAATATGACCAGTTCTTCTCAAACACCCCATTTACAGTGCTAAAGTTGTGCCGTATCAAGACTATATTTACTGGATACATATAAGACTTAAAATATTGAAAAGGTGGCACATTGTATTTCATGCTATGCTCATACTGATGAATAAGAAAAAACAATTATCCACTCACTGCAGGTTATAGATTTTGATTTTAAGAACATAAAAAGTTCGAAAAAGAGCAATCTAGCAAAAGGCATCTAACAAAAAGGGAAATATCTCTTTTCGCACAAGTACAGCGTTGATATGAGTGATTCTGATAAAAGTAGTACTTTTTCAAAAATTTGACCAATAGAAAAAGCAAACGCCTGGGTAGTTGAATATCATATGTCGATAGTGGGTGTTTCGTAGTACCAGAAAAAAAAATCAATTTGCCGAATAACACTTCTTTGTGTCCTGGGTTTTCAAAAAAACCATAGATTTTGAATGCAAGAAGATAAGACCTTCTCTACTGATTTTCATGTACAAATAACTGGACTACTATAAAAGTAGATAATTATAGATTAAAAAGTATGTCTCCATCTACTAGCATACTCAAAAACGGTTTCACAAAACTTCCAGTACTGAAAACCTCGGATTTCCAGAAGAACTTTCTTCACCTAGTTGAACGCTGTATATGCACATCCTTAAATTCTCCATGTTGTAAAACCTTTATACTAAAAATTTGGCTTTGTTCACGTGTGTTACATTAAAGTTACAAAAAAAACACAAAACAAAATGATTACGCGACAAAGGTGATTACGGGACATTTCCTAGTATTTACTAGTTTTCTTCTTTTTAAAGCAACTTTAGTCTTTATCATTTTTACAGGATCATCGTGTAGCTAGACTACATTTAAGGTGAAAAAAGAAACTTTCCATCGTGTTTGGTTGACACCTGATATAGTGGGTGATTACAGGATCGATGTTGCATAAGCATAATCTAACCTTCCTTTGTAACAACCATGCTTGCAAAACATAAAAATTCAATTCAGTTCAAGGACAAATCGTCGATCAAACATCACCTATCGTTGGCAAAGCGTGGATTACACAATAGCGAAAAGTGATAGAAACGTCGAGTTTTCGCTGTTTATTTATTCTACATATTTAGTCAACTTCTGGCATAAGAAACATGAAGACCAAATAACTTACTGGGGCTGTCCAGGACTATGTGATTACGGGACAGAAAAGAATTGGATTTTGGAACCATGAATTTCGAACAAATTTGAGAAAAAACGCAAAATATTGGGAACAAAAATAATGGTGTAGCTGAATAGAGTGAAGAAGATTCTAGAAAAAAATATTATTTCACACAAAGTAACAGAGAAAAATAACATTTACGAAACGCGACTCATGTGAACCACAAGAAATTCAACAACCAAATAACGATCAGATATAGATGTTTTGTTTCTAACTCGTTAATAGTTAAAGATAGAAAAGCTATCTTTGCAACGATTATAGGTCTAACATTGATACGTATATTCGAGAAACGCAAAATTGTTTCATTAAGTCTAAGAGAAGAAACCCTTAGGACCATTTACCTCTTTCGAACGGCACTATTTTTACCAGAGTCACTCATATATTATATATATATGATCTCTGCTCTCTTTATAGCTGAGAATCAGATTTTCCGAACTACTGGAATGGTCTAATCGAGCAAAAAATGCCCAGTTTTGAAGATCAGCAAGTGCATCGAACTATGGGAGATAAAATGCAGTTTAGAAAAACAAAAAGCTTTGAAGAGTAAATCATGTAAACCGTCTGCCAATATGATATGAGGTCGTGCAGCCCCATTATTTTGTCAATTCAACCGTTCCTATGTTTGTGATAGCGTAATCCATTATTTATCTTAAAGAAAAATCATCTATGTTCAGAACCAGGGCTGGAATCTCAAGACCTAATTAGATTCTTGACTGAAAAATACTGATTTCAGATACAGCTCAGGCACATAAATCTAGATGTTGACTATAGAACTGTCTTTTGCTTCTCTTTTTCTTCCTCATCCTTTTGCGTCACATGTGCGACAATGTTTGCACACGCATATCTTGTGTGACACGAGATTTCTCTTTCCTAGATGCCTAATGAAAACCCATATTAAATTTATTGAAAAAGCCCACACCGAATTTGTACGATTGTAAACGACGATTTACGACGAAATACTGTCGCATTCCATGCAGACTTAATACGCATCATTTCACGCTGTGAAATTATCAACAAAACCGAACCTAAACATTAATTTCAGAACTTCAATCAAGAAAACAACGCAAATTATACGGAAGGAGAAAAAAAATGAAAACTTTGTAAATTTGTCCTTTTTTTCGACTTGAACTTTTCTTCTGCTATAATTTCCGTAAAAAGGTATCGCAAAAGTGAGAACGCAATTCATTTTATACTTTTGAATGTGTTCTTTCTAATGGTCTCTAAAAAAGTTTTTTTAGAGCAGATGGTATGCTGCAGAAAGAAGTTTCAAAAATATGTCAGAAATTGACAGCTCGCCTTTTCCAACAATGTGTCCAAGCAAGAAACGGAAAACATGATCGACGTTTTGCTTTTGCAGTTAGGTAGAGAAGAACAATTATTTCAGATCAAAACAAAACAAACCCGATCAAAAAATCTTTTGTTTTGATAGAGCTATGGGACTTTTACTGAAAGCACCACTATACTCAGAATTTAAAAAATTAATGAAAAAAATGCGTAATACCCGACAGAAAAATGATTATTTTGCCATGGATTTTGATATGAAAAAATGTGAAGCGTAACTAAAAGATAGAGCGAAGTCAGGGCTACATGATGGCTGGTTCAGATTTTCTTAGTTTCAAAACGTTAAAATAGGAAATCGTTTTTGAGGTGAGAAAGTTTTCATTTTTTTCTTCTTCCGTATAATTTACGTTGTTTTCTTGATTGAAGTCCTGAAATTAATGTTTAGGTACGGTTTTGTAAATTTCACAGAGTATCTTTTGGTAAAAAAAGATTCCAAAAAGGTTGATACTGTATGGTGAAGAACAGAAAACAAAAAACCACCCATTATATCCGGACCACCCGATACTAATTCATTGAACAAATATATTAAGGGCATCCCCCTCAGAACTTCGATTTTTTTTCCTCGAAACTGAAATAAGCATACAGTCCAGTACCCCAAAGTGTCATCTTTCAGAATCCATCTCTGTTTGCCAAAAATTCAATGTTTTTGGAGGTTTTTGAAAAAGATTTAATAAAAAAGCTTTAGCGTTTTTGCTAAGAGCCCCATTTTGCCTCTTGTCACGCAATAACTCGGCAGCGTCTCAACATTGCGATTTAGTATAAGCTAATTGAATAGTAAGAATTAGTCACTATAAAAGCCATCGATGTTGGATGTAAAATAAAAAAGAAATTTTCCTGAGGGGGAACCCCCTTAAGCCAATACGTCTATCTCAACAAATAGCAGTTGGATTAATATTATCATACATTAGATTGTTAAAATATTTATCGTTCTGTTCTTGTTCTGTGACTTCAAAAGTAAAAGTTTTGTATCTTAAAAGTCCACGCATTGAAGTAAATAGTATGTGTAGTAACATCATAGTGTTCGTTAGAATCTCATATATATATGAGATGACATATACGTACTCTATTCAACCAAAAGAAATGACGTCCTCTGAAAAATTAAAAACATTCTCTTTTAAGTTCTTGTTCAATTAATTCAATTCAAAACAAGAATTCAATACAATATATTTACAAAAAAAAAAATGAGAAACTATCGACTATATTTGTCATTGCTTCTTAGAAGCAGAAAAGAATTAAAAACATAGAAATACTACATCACATCGAATTGTCTTTTAATAACCCACACACTTTCAATGTCAATGTCAATTGTCTTCTTCAACTAAGGCGGTAAATTCTATAATAAATTGAAAAACAACTTATCTATTAATTAGAAAAAAATATCTAAGCGAACAATTATGTTATACCATCGATTGAGATTTTACCATTATCATCACGATCTACTTTAGCAATCATTCGTCGAATCTAAATAACCAAACTAAGACTAATTTCTACAATATTTTTATTTGATATTTCTAGTTCATTACAATTGTCATTTAATTAGTTATAATAGAAACAATTCTTACCTCATCCGAGGATAAATTTCGTCCTAATCGACTTAGAATATTTTGTAATTCATTTGCACTTATGAATCCATCATGATCATGATCAAAACGTCTAAATGCTTCTAATATTTCAGCTCTTGTAAATTTTCGAAAATAAGAATCGGCTACAATTTCAACAAATTCTTCAAATTCTATTTCACCATTCTCTAGATAATATAAGAAGAAATGTGATTCTTTTATAACGTTAAATAAGTTTTACCATCAGCATCAATTGCCTTGAACATTTGTTGAATTTCTTGCTCACTGGCACGAATACCCAATGCCCATAATGCCTGCTTAAATTCTTTGCTTGATATTGCTCCTGATGCATCAGCGTCGAATAAATCAAATGCTTGTCTTAACTCTAAAACATAGATAAAAATTCGTGACGATATAGAAATATTTGTCATAGATAACTTATTAAGTACCTGTAACTTGATTTGGACTTAATTTTCGGATTTTTTTATTCTAAATTCAAATAAGTTTTATGAAATTTATGAGACTGTTTGAACGAAAGATTTAGTTCTAATAATGAACAAAAATTTTAGACAAAAAAAATTTCTTTATTAGAAGAAATCTGAGAAATAAAAAAAGAATTTGAAATTTTCTTGAAATCAAAGATTATTTACCGTAGGCATTTGTTTAATAGTCGAAGTTCAAAAGATCGTTACCAGTAATATGTATTTTAATCAATTAATCTAAAATTATTTAAAAATGACAATAATCGTATATTTTTCTTTGATAAAATTACTTATAATATTTATAGGATTAGTTTATTTTAAGAAGGATAATTTTATTTTTTTGAATCATTCTGTCTGATTACTATAAAATGGCAATTTAATTATTATTATCTAATAAATCAATTCAAGAAACATCGTACATAATACATCATATACAAATATCAAACAAAAATTTAAATCAATATTAATATACAATGTATGGAAGATAATACTCAAATACAGGAAATTATTTTAAACTTTTTAAGATTAGTATTAAATGTAAAGAAACAAAATACATAAGTACAATATGCTTACTATTTATTAGAAAATATTTTTTATTTTAAATTTAATAGGGATGATAGCATGTAATCTATTTTATTATTAACTTGCTCACCTACTTTTATCTATGAAAAAAAAAAACTGTCCCATTTTTATTCTAATGATAATTATTTTTCTATTACGAATGTAAGAAGAATGGCACGCAACACACACTTATTTTTATTTTATCCTAACAAAAGAGTAAAATAAAAAAAAGAATTCTTTATTTTTCTTTTTTTTCTTCTTCTTCTTCTCTCTGTCATTAGACATAAAGAGGAGTGCTAGAAAATCCTTGAGTTCATATATTTGAATACGCTCATAAAAAAAACAATTAGAGTGGGCACGCTCTACTAAAAGGATTAGATGAAAAAAAAAATTAGAAATAAAAACAATTTGACTGGCACAATTTTAATAGTTATGGCAAAAATATTAATCTAAAACAAGTGTGTCATGCTTGCACATTGAAATATTTTATAATGATAAGCAATGTGTCAACTCAAAACAAAATATCCGCGTTTTCTCTTAACTATATACAAGATATTACTAAGTAGTGGAAAATAACGTATGTCATATTTTCACTTTACACAAGGTAACGTCTTGACCAGCTAATATATTATATGGGTATCACCAGTTCAACCGGTATTAGATAAGAGAAGTCAATATTAGTTAATCGCTTTTAGATTTGAAAACGAACTCGTTAAAGTGGATTGAAAAAACTAACGTAAATCGAAACTTTCTTTAATAAGTTGTCTATGAACGTGAATAATAGAAGAAGAAAAAATGTTATCAGCCCTCTTGGAGATGAAATCAATAAAAAAATTAAGTAAAAGTCAATGAAAATGTGCTTATAATCACATATCACTGATAGAAAAATAAATTCATTTAGAATCGCGGTAAAGTGCTTCGTCCTACTCAGTACACTCGATAATCCAGAAGATTTTCTACTTTTGACAAGACGTATTGCCAAAAGCTTAAGAAAATTTTTGAAAATGAATATTATTTTCCCATGAAAGTTTTTTTTGCATCATTTTTTGCATTTTATTCGAAAAATTTTCCTAAACTTTTGACAATAATGTCTAGCTAAAAATAGAAAATCTTCTGAGTTATCGAGTGTACTGAAAAAGCACTTTACCGCGCTTCTACATAAACTTTATTTTTTTTTTCTTCACGTTGATAAGCATCATTTTTTATGTTTTGTCTATTAGAAAACACTCAGTAAAAGAGTATATTCTTCTGCAGAAATAAGTAGATAAATGGATCAGAAGGATATTTGAAAAAATACTATTTCGAAATTGATGAGACCGTTTCTCTTACAAAAGTATACGATTTTATAGTACTGATATGTCTATTATGTGATTAAAAAAGATGATGTTCTGCTTGAAAAGATTTTTGTTTGAGAAGATTTTTGTATTGATGAAACAAAGAAGTACAAATAATAACTGCAAATATGTTTAGAATCCTTTGACAATAGTATACCAGTATCTGCATTATTCTCGTTCTATCGTGGAAGAAATACTAATATCCAATTTTTAATCAAAATACTAATTATATCACTTCAAAAGATTTGAATTAATGACTTATGAACCATTTTAGTTTCAGCTGACTATGCAAGAGAAACGCAGGTAAAAACACTTTTTTTCCAACTGCAAATTCTACTCAGGCAAATTTCAGATTTCAATCAGTTTTCAATGCAGATAATCAGCTCTGCTCTTTATACAAATTAATTTTCGAACAGGATAATCCAAATAGATTTTTGTTATGGTCTGATATTGCCGTTTGTTTACAAGAAGACACGAAGATAATATTGATAAATCGAGTTCTTCTGATTTTTGACTTTTTTCTTCTTTTGAAAGACAATATAATCTTAAAATCTTGTGAAGTTCATTTTGCCTTGGGAAAGAGTGATAATAAATAAAGGAAATGAATAAAGAGTATAGTATAGCGATAGACTGGGAAAGATCAAATATTAGACTGATTGGTAAAAAATGATCTTTTCAAATTTTTGACTTACTTTAAATCTTCTAAGGGCAACGACTTCTGATTCAAAAACATGAGGTTACGGTCGAAATATCCAGAGAAAACAAAGCATATGATGAAATTCAAAACAGCTGCAATATTGATCATGTTTTTGACTTACTTTTCTCCGATTTTGAAAAAGTGAAGTTAGTTACCCTGCTGTAGATAAACTGAGGAGATGTAATGACTTAGACATGTGAAGATGAAATCGTGCACTTTGTTTCGGGAAAAAATGCTTTTTGAGCACCAAATCAGTTATAAAATAGATGAGCACTAAAAATACGACTTTTGAGTACCAAGCAACTCAATTAATCACTCAAACTAACTCACACTCAACAAATTGATGAAATTTTGTAAACTGTGTCATATAAAAGATTAATTTATCTATATCAGGCCTCAGTGCTCATGTTAAAGTACTGAAAAAATTCTACAAAAGTAACTTAAAATGTCTAACAACGAATGGCAAGTTTTGAACGTCGTATTTAATTGTGGGTATTTCTAAAACACACAAACACTCCCAAATTAAAATCTGAGTTAGCCAATCGACAGAGCTCCTCGAGCTGAGTATAGCAACGCCTAACGAATATCCAAAAACGTTTTTATAGTTTTGCTTTTTAAGCATACATTTTCAACGAACACCCAGAAGAAAGAGTAAGAACACCCAAAAACGTGTGCTCAATTCATCTCCAGGTTGTTCGGAGCCCACTGGTAGGGTGAGGTACTGGTAGGCTGAGGATGAGATGTGGGCGTGAGGGTGAGGTACTGGTAGGCTCAGAACAGTCTGGAGATGAATTTTGCACACTTTTTGGGATGCTTTTACCCTTTCTTCTGGGTGTTCGTGGGTGTTTTAATTTAGCACTGTTCAATATTTTGAGTGGTGCTCAAACGAGAAAAATGTTATCAGAGATTCAAAAAGCAGATTCTGTAGAGAATTCAATTCTCTATCGAATGAGACTAGAACCAGATTTTTAGATCATTCGGAAGTGCCTTAAAAATAAAGAACAAAAGTATCCCGTTAATTATGCGCCACCCGTTAGTGACTGATAAGCGGTTGTCAAACTAAACTGAATTAAAATTGTATCAAGTCAAGTTTCATATTTCATGTAAAGAAGGTCATATTAACAATGTCATTTTATTTAGACTGTACGTTAGAATGAGTTGTTTTTTTAGTCGATTTGTGTCATTTTTAGCACAAAGACTGTACAAGCATTTCTTAATGGAACGTTTAAAATGAGAATCTAATTCAAAGGTTTCAGAATAAATCAAGATCATTGGAAAAAAAACAGAGAAGTATGATTATTCAAACTTTTAATTTTCCGTGTCAGAGACGCTGTTTATAAAATCGAAATTTCTATAGATTAGCCAATGATGGTTGTGAAAATCTTCGAAAATAAACAATAGCGGAAAATTTATTGATGTTGAAAAAAGGATATCGTCAGTTACATTGCATTGTATTGATAAGTATTCTATGATAAAATTTCGATCATCGTTGATTAAAAGCGTATATTTTGGTATTTTATCAGGCTAGCAAAAGTTTTCGATATGCATGCAAGTTTTATTTTTTACCAATTTGCAATTATTTTCAGCTAAACAAACAAAATCAGACTAGAGTTACATAGGAAAAGAAAATGTTTGAAGTTATTTTAAAATGTACATAAAAGAAAAAAAATAAGAAAACATTATTATTTATTGTATAACATTTGAAAAGTAATAGGAAAAAAATAATCTAACCAAACTATAAAATTATACATAGTATCTGATTAATAAGCCTAGTTTATTATTTTCATCATTCAATGATGTCGTCTTTCTACGTTAATGATTTTTCTTTGATTTTTTTTGGCGTCCGTGTTTCTCTAGTAGTTTATTAAAAAAATTATCGCGATTTTAGTGACGTTGTTGCTGCCTCATCTAGTGTATTTGTGTTAAACCAGCATCATCATGAAAAAACTTTTTTGTTTCCCAGTCTTACGATTTAAGAGTTTTTCAGAGATCAAGGTCTAAAAAGAACCCTGAAGTTTTTCCCAAGATGTTTTAATATACTTCAAACTGGAGAGTTCGGGTTTGCTTTATTTTAAACTAGACACCTAACTACATGGACTGACGGGCGCCGATTTTTCAATTAAGCCTTAATTGATTTTCCAGGCAACCAACAACCTCCAAAATCCAAAAAGCCTTCCGAGTTTTCTAAAAATTCTCAGTTTGACAAAAACTAAGATCTAATTCAAAAATCGGCGCTTGTCAGTCCATGTAGTTTCTTTTCCTCTTTTAAACAAAAAAAGAATAAACTCTCTGTGACAAACCGCTATTAAAAATCTTGGAAATACCTCAGGTGTAACTCGTATATAGAGAAATTGCTGTATAAACTACTCAATTTTAGGGCTTTTAGGAAAATGCCTGTAACTTTTTGATACAAGGTCATACAGAGTTGTACGAGGTCTTATTTTGATCAGAAACGTTTGCTCTACAAATCTATGTGTTCCGAAAAGTTTTATAGGTATCCAGTATTAAAGTTTATAAGTATCCAGGAAAAAACTATGATTTAAAGTCCCGATTTTTCGAGGTGAAAACTTGCTCAAAATTCCCGA